CCATTATTTATCCATCAAGTACTAAATGTTGATTAATGATTAAACCAGTTTCATGCTCATGCGACCTGCTCGTCCCTGTGTGTGTGTGTGTGTGTGTGTGTGTGTGTGTGTGTGTGTGTGTGTGTGTGTGTGTGTGTGTGTGTGTGTGTGTGTACACCTTGTGGTGCTGTCCGTGCAGGAGGAAGTGTATCGTGATGAGGTAGTAATTATGGGCCGGGGGTCTCATGTGGAAGACGAAGCGATGGATGCAGTACTCGATGAACGACCACAAGAACCAGCCCATCAGAAAGAGCAGGGGGAACAAGTACTTATGGATCGGGATAGAGAAGTCTGGGAAACACACACACAAAGGACTTAGATTAATACACACCTTAACTGGACATAAAAAATTATGACAATATATTTTTAATATATGTGTTTATTATGCCTGTGTGTGTGTGTGTGTGTCTGTGTGTCATGGCAGCCACGCGTGAGTGGTGAGAGGAACTCGCTCACCTTTTTTAACATCTAAGCTCACATACACCCGTTGTAACTGCCATCGCTATTGCAGTGGGGATATAGGATGCACTGGACGCTTTTGGTATATAATGTGTCTCGTTACCACACTGAGATTGGCCTTTAAACAAGCCCTGAACAGCGGGCGAGTCTACAAACAACGCCTGAACGTCAGCGACCCCAAGCCCAAAACCGGCCGGAGATGTTCGGGTAGACTTCGAGCAATATGCACGATTATTGTCAGATTGTGAGTGGACTACTTTCCAGAGAGATGAAAGAGCGTACCGGGGGACACTGGACACATAACAGCAAAGTTAGATCTTACCTGGAGCAGTTTTGTGTCCAGTGTCCCCCGGTACGCTCTTTCATCTCTCTGGAAAGTAGTCCACTCACAATCTGACAATAATCGTGCATATTGCTCGAAGTCTACCCGAACANTAGATGACCCCATCAGATCCACTAGCCTTGTTATTAGGAAGAGAAGCCATAACTGCATCCACCTCCTCTTTTGTAAAGTCCTGGGTATCCTGGGTATCTGGGAAATAGCCTGGCTCTATTCTGTCAATGAAATTGTACCAGGGGGGCGTGGCCAGGGGAGTAGCCCTTGGCACAGTTTGACATTTGGCTTTATAGTGGTATATACCACATTGGCTGTATCACTAACAATGGGCGCGATTTCCGGAAAACAGCTGTTATTTAAAATGATATTGATTGCCTTTGATTTGCAGTGTTGCCAGAGATATGCCAGCTTGTTCCTGGAAACTTTCCTTTGCTGCCGTTGTATCTCTGTCCCGGCGGCCCGCAGCGCTGGTTGTATTCTCTCACGGATGAAGCGAAGCTGCATTTCTATCCAAGGTGTCAGCGAGTCAGGTGTAAGGTCCACCGGGAAGTCGGCAGAAACAGGGAATTTCTTCAGGATTCTGGCGACATATTTCAGAAGCTGGAATCCGTACGGACGCGAGTTTCGTTGCGTCACGGAGAATATTCCATTAATGAAAAAAGCGCTGGTCAGCATNGATACCCAGGATACCCAGGACTTTACAAAAGAGGAGGTGGATGCAGTTATGGCTTCTCTTCCTAATAACAAGGCTAGTGGATCTGATGGGGTCATCTATGAGAAGCTGAGAGCTACCAGGCCCACGTCAACACAGACACTCACACACATCTTCAATGCCTGCCTGATCAATGAGAAGGTGCCTGCTTCATGGAAAGGGGCCCTCCTTCACAGGATACCAAAAAACTTGGCGTGACATTTCACTATTGCCCACTATATACAAAGTCTTTATGAAGTGCCTACTCACCCGCATCTTACCCTGGCTGGTGGACACAGGGATTCTCTCCCCCCATCAGAAAGCATATATCAACAGACAGGGAATGAACGAACATGTGTTTTGCTTAAAAACCGGAATAGATGATTTCAAACATGGATTATCTAAATTCTACACAGTGTTTTTGGACTTTAGGATATACACCTGCCTCAGCCTTTTGTGAATATTGTATCCAATGTGTACCAAGGACCATTTCTCCAGGTTATCTGTGGGCAGCAACTCATAGAGCTGGTTGCACTGAAGGTGGGAATAAAAACTGGTTCCCCCTGGAGTGTCGTGAACTTCATCCTAGCACTCAACCAATGGATGAAGTGGATTTACCAGTGCACTCCTTTGCATGTAAAATCCCCAAATCCTGTTCAGGGATACGCTGACGACGTGTCATCACAACAAGAGGATGTCATCATTAACATGCTGGCGCGCACTGATGAGTTCCTCCAATGGTCAGGGCTGGAGGTGAAGCAAGCTAAGTGTGCCATACTCCATGAGCGCCGCAGTGGTGGCAGCCGCTGGTATAAGGCCAAGAACGACAAGCCCCCCTCCTTTCTTGTAATGGGCCAACCTATTAAGGTGTATTCCCGTAATGATACCATGTCCATACCTTGGCCACAGGTTTAACATTGCTGGCGAGTGGGGGGAGCAGGTCGAGGAGCTAATTACAGAGTTTCTCTATCGTCTCCACCTGATTGACTTGTCCCCCCTCCCCGTCCTCATGAAGTTCCAGGCTGTGAGAGAGGTGGCTTTGGCTAAAATTCAACATCCTTTTGCCAATGTACACATCCCTCTCAAGGCACTGAGAGAGATGACAAACAAAACTGTTCAGCTGGTCAGAAAGTGGGTGGGCCTAAACACACACTCCACACGGGGCCTCATCTTTCTCCCATGTGGAGAGGGGGGGCTGGGAGTCCCCAATGTCGAGTGGACCTACATAGCCACCAGGCTAGCCCACCTGATCCACATGCTTAACAATTATGATGTCACCGTAAGAGAAATGGCCAGGGCCTCTCTCCTGCTGGATCCACAAAGAAGGAAGATCCCCCTAGCCACCGCAGACCAAAACAACTTCCTCGACTTCAGGGGGAAAGACTCTGGGAAACTGGACTCTCAGGCCAAGGGCTTCGGGGTCTGACTGGCCAGATCTCAATGACCTCTGCAATCTGACTGGAGTCCAGCTGAAATGGACAAGACTCAACACACAGACTGAAGTCCCCGTCTCCAATGAACTGATCACTGACCCCAGTGTGGTTGTGAAGGCCGACATCACAACACCTCAGGAAGAGACTGTGGAACTGCACAGAGACTCTGCAAGGAGGGTTCTGCTCAGCATGAAGCAGTCTGAGATCAGGCAGCACTGGTGTGGACTCAGACTACAGGGAAAGCTTGCCTGTTTGGGGTTTGCTGACCACTCAGTCTCACACTCGGTGTTTAAGAACGCCGCTGTTGGTGAGGATGTTCTGACATTTACCATCAAAGCAAGACTGCAGGTATTACCCACTAAGTAGAATCTGTCCACCTGGTACCCTCACATTCACACTCCATTCTGTTTAAACCATCAGGATTCACAACAACGCCTAGAATCCATTGCACACATAACAAATGGATGAAATGCATACAAAATGCCTGTACATAGCCCGTCATGACCCTATTGTGGAATTGTGTCTTGAGGGTACAAAACATCTTACCATTACTAGGCAGCTCATGTACAAGCCGCTAGAGTGTTACCAGAATGGGTTTGGTTTGACCAATGATGTCTTTGCTAGCATCCAAATACACCTGATGTTGTTTTTGTTGACACCAACCCACAGGAGGTGCTAATATTAGAAGTAGTCTGTGCCTTTTGACCTGTACATGGACCAGACTTCCAGGGCAAGGTATTATCAAACACCAACCACTGCTCGATGTGATACCAGCTTTGGGTACAGTGAGATATAGCAATAATATCTCGGAAGTCTTGGCCATGTATATAAATGCACCATGATGGTCTGAGAATTACTGGATGTCCAAAGAGAAAAGCCAAAGAAAATTGCGTAGTGTGTGTGTGTGTGTGTGTGTGTGTGTGTGTTGTCCTGTGTGTGTGATGTGTGTGTGGGTGTGTGTTGTTGGTGTGTTGTGTTGTGTGTGTGGCTGCTGTGTGTTCGATGTGTGTGGTGGGTGTGTGTGTGATGGTGTGTTGTGTGTGTGTGTGTGTGTGTGTGTTGCGTGTGTGGTGTGTGTGTGTGTGTGTGTGTGATGTCTCGTGGTGGTGTGTTGGGTTGAAGAAGTGTGATGTGTGATTTGTGTATGACACAGCTGCAGTTTAATAGTATTGTTGAACTCTGTTGTTCTCTGATAGTGTTGTGTTGTGACGATCAACTACATCCAAAAATCTAATTTTGAATGTGACTCACATTTTGCTACTTTAATGATGCAACTGCATCAATCATGGGGTGATTGTTTGTGTTTTGGTGCATGTGCCCTGTGTGTGTGCGTGTGTGTGTGTGTGTGTGTGTGTGTGTGTTGTGTGGTGGTGTGGTGTGTGTGTGTGTGTGTGCTCGCCGCTCGTGTGTGTGTGTGTGTGTGTGTGTCGTGTGTGTGTGTGTGTGTGGTGTGTGTGTGTGTGTGTGTGTGTGTCGTGTGTGGGGTGTATGATTTCAAATGGTTACTGGCAAACAAAGGAGACTGGCCTGTGTTTTGGACAGCGAACACTGACTCAGATGGGAGATTAGTGTTTGTTGCCATTGTGTGTATGTTAGCCTCTCTACACCAGTGATCGGAAAAACAAAGATAGAGTGTGTATATGGGATGGAGAGGAGGAGAGAAAAGGGGACATGTTTACTTTGTCCTTGTCTCTGTCAGAATCTGCCACTTATAAGCAGCGATGTTCACAAGACCGCATCGAAGAGACGAAGAAACAGCGTACATGTGAAGACTGGAGCTAATAATAGAAACCTAGCGTGTGAGAGAGACCATATAGTTATCGCAGAGACTGAGTAGAAGGAGAGAGATCGCATGCAGTGAGAAATAAAGGCCTTTAGGAAACATGCACAGAGGGACAAAGAGAAGATACATGCATCGAAGCTAAATGTAATGGGACTGAGAGTGAAAGAGAGCGTGAGTATGAGGATTAAAAGGGCACACAAGAGAGAATGTATGTATGGAGTAAAGATGGTTACAAGAAGACTGGTCACTGGTGATTAAATATCAGCCAGAAAAATAAAAGTGATAGATTTTTGGTTTCCTGTTATCCAGACTACACACAATCAATTCATCGCAACACCACACGACTCATATCCCACCAAATCACCCACATCAGCACAACATACTGCAGAGGATCACCCAGCTCCCACTTCCGGTGGCTGCTTCGCATGCGCCGCATTCAACTTCAGCTCACACGAACAGTCCCCAGCGTTGGTTCTGGTTAAGTTGTAGT